GATGCTACTTATAGGTCCAGTTGTGAGCCAGTTGTGAGGATTTTTGTTTTCTTTATATTGAGATGTAATCCATATTGCAGACTGTATTCTTTAATCTTCATCAGTAAGTGCTTCAAGTCATCCTCACTTTCAGCAAGCAAGCAAAGTTATGTCATCAGTGTAGTTAGGTGAGGTATTATTAATTATTTATAGAAATACTATTGGGCTATCTAGAATTCTTGACAAATTTTGATGAAATGCAGAGGCTTTTGAGAATCACCAAATCTTCAAAAAATTAATGTAAAATTAAAACAAAGACATTTCAGATACTGGCAGTCTAAATATCAAGAACTTTTTCTCCCTTGGCGTCAGCAAAAAAAAGGTCCTCTTGAGATTCTCCAGTAACTCACCTAGGTATTGTTTGGGGTAGTTTTCTTCCTAGCTATCTATTTTGCTATAACTTATGCTCATAATTCCCAGGAACTCTTTCCATGTCCAGGTGCCCTACCACCAGACAACTTCTGGGTCAACAGGAACTAGTTTGGGATCAGGCACCCTGCTGCACCCAGCTGCCTTCTGGGTACACAGGAACTAGCACCAGGACCAGGTGCCCTGCTCCGCACTGCCTGCTTGGCCAGCAGGAACACAGGCTAGGTACCCCGTCCCTTCAATTTTGTTTTTGTTTGTTTAAATTATTCTTTTTGCTTTTGTCCTTTCTTTCTTCTTATTTTTTTTTCTCTATCCCTTCCTTGGGTCTTTTTTCTCCTTTGCTTGGTTCCCTTCTTTCTTCTTTTCTGCTTTCTCTTTTTGCTCTTCCCATCTATTTCTCTTTTTGCAGTCTCTTATGTTTTCTTTACTATTCTTTTTTCTTGCTTTCTTTTCTATCCTCCCCTCCTCAAATATTGGGTTTTTTTTTTCCTCTTTATACGTCTTTTTCCTTTTCATTTATTATTTTATCTTTTTGTGACTGTTGTTTGTTTATGCTGTTTGTGTTTTTTCGTCTATTTTTGTTGTTGTTGTTTGTTTATTGTTTTGGGCCCCCTGGGTAGGAGACAGCAACCATATCCATACAACCCATACAACTCAAACACATCCATACCTCATGCAGCCCCAGGGCTACAACCTGCTTCTGAACCACATGATCAATGATAGACAGTGGCCAATACCAGCTCATCCTGCCCTCAACTGCTCTACATGAAAAGCTAGCAGAGATCTGAACACACATTCTCATCCTCTATCACCCCAACCAGGAGACATATGGTAAGTGCCTAAGTGTTGCCAAACTAGCAAATAGAGTACCATACCACCCTGCTCACTTGAATATATTAAAACAAAATAAAGGGAAAAGAAGAAGAAGAAAAAAACTGAGCCATTCACACCAACATACAATCACCAATTAAATATAAATATTACAATATCACAATGTCTCAGAAACAACTGACAATCCTACATAAAGAAGCAAGATAAAGTAGTACAAACAAGGGACCAGAATGCAAAGCCAGAGAACCTTCCTGAGTAAGAAATGATTTTGGAACTGTTTGATAAAAAATTCAAAATAATTATATTTAGGTACCCTCAATGGACTGAAAAATAGATCAAGCAAAATACTGAAAAAAATCAAGGAAAACTCTGAAAAAATTAAGGAAAACACACAAAAGCACTCTAAACAACTTAGGCAAACAATACAAGAAACAAATTTTAAAAATTAGAAGCCATACAAAAACAGCAAATAGAAATCCAGAAGATGAATACTAAGATTTCAGAAATAGATAACACTTTGAAAAGGCAAAAGAGTAGAATCAAATCAACTGAAGACAAAATTAGTGACAGTAAAGACAAATCTCTCAATACTACTGTGTTAAGGGAACAATTAGGAAAAAAAAATTTTTTAATGAGGAAAGTATAAGATTTATGTAGGACAACATCAAGAAGAATAACTTACATGTGACTGGCATACCAGAACAGGGAGAAAGAAATAAAATCATAGAGACAATTGTCAAAGATTAGTTTGGAAGAAAACTTTCTAATATAATGAAATATGAAAAGATACGCATTCAAGAAGTTCAATGAACCCCAAAGTAGACAGACCCCTTAATAATATCACCAAGACATATAACCAAACTTACCAAAACCAAACACAACCAATAAGACTAATTGCTCTGATTTCTCAGCAGAAAACCATACAGGCAATAAGATGATGGGATAATATATACAAAACCCTGAAATTGAAAACTGCCACCCACTCACCAAAACTGTCCCTCACATATGATGGCAAAATAAGCACATTTACAGATAAATAGAAATGAAGGAAATTCAACCAGACCAACTTTATAAAAGATGCTGAAGGGATTCCTTCTGTGGTAGTTAAGGTTATGTGTCACCTTGGCTAGGCCTGGTTTTGAGTGGCTGGGCAGCTGGATGTAGTATTCCCCATGAGACTGGTAATCAACTCCATGGTGGAATCTACTATGAGAAGCAAAGTAGCTGCTTTAGGGACATAGTCTGCTTCCAGCATATAAGAAGCAACTTTGAGGAAGGTCTCTGGCTTTATGGCACACTTGGACCCTGCATGTAACCAAGTCATCATGTAGCAAGCAACCTGCCATGTTTCCTGCCAATCTTGGGACTGTCTCTGGACTTGAATTAGTGGCGTGCCGTGTGGTTTGTTAATATAAGAACTGTGCCTTTTTACTGTTGACCTTGGGTTTACCAGCCTCAGCAGACAGGAGCAGCCTGAGTGAAGACAGCCTTCAGCTTCAGTGGGCCGGGAGGAAGCAGCACAGCGGAAGCTCAAGGTCAAGGGGCTTTCTCACCCAGCCCCTAGAGCCTGGCATTCTGAACTTGGACTTCTAGCCTCCAAAGCTGTAAGAGAATAGATTCCTGTTTGTTCCAGTCACCCATTTGTGGTATTTTCTGTTACAGCAGCACTGGGTAACCAAAACACCTTTCAACAGAGAAGTAACAACAGCACACATACAATATAACCCAGAAGCCAATATAGATATAGGAGTATCCAAAGCAAAATAAACTTATAAGATTGTAAACAGGGAACCAGAGACATCAGTTGGCAAATGAGGACAACTATAAACCAAAAAGAGGGAATAAATAGAATAGGTACAGAACTTACAAATGGAGAGGAAGTCAAGATGATTTTGAGATAGAACAGACTGTTGTAAAGTTAGGAAGAAAATAAGTCACAGGGTATCTTCAAGAAAAATTAATAAACCTCATCAAAATGAAAAAGGAAGGCAGGCACAAATATTTAGCAAATACTAAAACTATAGCAATGAAGGAAATGATTAAAAAATTCATAAACAAAATGAGCTCAGCATAATTATATGGAACCAAGAAATCAACAGCACCTCAAGAAAAAATAATAATAATAATAAAATGACATCCATAAATTCCTACTTGTTGATAATTACACTGAAGGCAAATGGATTAAATGAAGAGAAAGAAGAGCTACCAAATGGAAAAAAAAAATGACCTATCAATATTCTATCTACAAGAGATACACCTTACAAACAAATCAAAACAGACAAAAAATCAAAGGTTGAAATATATATATATACCAAGGAAATGGCAATCAAAAAAGAGGAGTGGCAATATTAATTTATGATAAAATAGACTTTAAGACAAAACCACTGTTAAGAGGTAACAAAGGACATTATATAATGATTAAAGGA